AAATAAAAACTGCTAAACTATGAAAGTTTTAATAATTTCTGCATGACTCCAATCTTTAGAAGATGGATACTGCAAGAAATTTGATGATATTTCATATAAATGATACCCAACTTTCAAAGATATTGGATTTTTGTAGCAGATAAAACGGCTAATTTTTAGTTTGTTAGATAATTTTAAAGGTAGAATATTAACTAATAGTTCTCGCAGTGTTTTCTCGCAATAAGTAGACTGATGAAAAGAACGAATTTTAGTTAAATATCAGAAATATTTGAAAAGAAACAATACACGACAAAAATATGTATTTCTACCTTCGTCCTTTTCTTTAAATCCAAATAAAGTTGTACTTAGGATAATGTAGAGATGTAATCAATAAAGAGAGTATGAGGAATGAGTAACATTCAAGTAATCAGTAGAGTACCTCAAAAAATAGACACATTCATATTGCTTTCCTAACAGCAATTTAAATCAAGTTCGGAAGTGAGTCTTTTTATTAAGATTTAGTAAACTGTTTGAAATTTCGGAAAAAAGAAAATGTTGACTTTCAATAATTTATAGAAACCTAATGAACGACTTGACTTTCACGACTGATATAGCCAACTTGAAACTCAAATTCATCCTGAATATAATCATAAAATATTACCTATCAAAATGATTAATCGATATATTATCAATAATTTGAAGAACAAAAATATATTAATTACAGAAATATACAATCTCACGAAATATTAGGGTGTGGGTGGGTGTGAGATCTTGATCCTTTTATCGATACCAACATCTATACCCCACCCAAAAATATCTAAAATCTATGCTTTGAAAGTCATTTTTACGGCATATCCAATGAGTTCTTTCATCCATGGTAACTCGCTTTCGGAGTGATTGTATTTAAAAAACTACTTCAGTTAGAAATCAGAAAACTTTCGTTAAATTAGTTGTGAGAATGTTTATGGCTGAAGTCCATCTGACGTGTTGTTGTTGAGAAATAAGTTCTAAGATTGTACAAAAAAACTTGCGTAGCGTAAATATATTTGAATGTTTTGTCGTATATATTGAAATCTTCTATCTGTTTGGCATTATTTAGTGTATTACTCTAACAAAGACCTTAACTTTTCTAAAATTTAAGTGAAAACTACCGAAAGATAGAATTGAAATGGATCAAAGCGTAGGAACATCGAAAATTGTATAAAATTTTCAGAGTATGCTGGGACTGGTGAAACATTACTGCAGTGAAATTGTCAAACTTGTTGCACGATATTTAAAAGAGATATGCATCAAATAAAGGTAAAAAATAGTTCAATAGTACTTCGAAGTTTTCTCTGTGGGACTTCGTTCCAGAAATTTAATTTTCGATTGCTTGAAAAAGCATGTTAGAATGCAGTGACTACGCTGGCATTTTTTCAAGTCTTCCTTTTTTAAAGGAAAAAGACTGTGTGAAAATTCAACAACTTTAAAAAATCTCTAAAACTTGCGTTCTGCTGATACAAGTATTGTCTTTTATGATAATAAAAAAGATTGTTTAAAAAACAATAGGACCATGAGAATCATTAGACTTGAAACACAAGCTTTCAGACAAAAGAAAACTATTTGACTTTACCTCTTAGTGTAGTAGAGTTCCGCTGGAGATACCTTGTTGAACTCAGGTTTTGAGAAAAACGAAAAATGATTTTCAGCTTTTTTGTAAAAACAGCTTGTTTTTCGAATACAGAGTAACAAATATTCTTCAAATTTTTTGGAGAAAGAGAAATGTTGAATAAAAGTTTTTTGTCATTTATGAAAGAGCAGATGATGAACTATTTTCCTATGAATTTATCTCAATTTCGATCATTTTGGCGAAAAGTGACTCTTTTGAGGGAGGAGCAACAAGATAAGATGAAGAATCAATCGTTTCTGTTAGTATCAGTATCTAAGAGGGGATCCCGAATCTTGCGCACGGAATGTTGCGCACGGAATGTTGCGCACGGAAAGTTGCGCACACGAATTTTGCGCACGAATAATTTGCGCACGAGTAATTTGTGCACTGACTGTTTGCGCACGAGAAAAAAAATTCATATTTATGAGCTGCAAGACAATAAAAGGATGTGGGTGCGCGTGTGGGTGTGGGTGTGGGTGTGAGTGTGAGTGTGGGTGTGGGTGTGGGTGTGGGTGTGGGTGTGGGTGTAGGAAGGGAAAGATCAAAACCCACACCCACACACCCACACCCACACCCCTGTCGAACAACAAAATATGAATTTTCTATTGTGCGCAAGATTCGTCGTGTGCAAGATTCGTGTGCGCAAGATTCGTCGTGCGCAACTTTCCGTGCGCAAGATTCGTCGTGCGCAACTTTCCGTGCGCAAGATTCGTCGTGCGCAACACACCGTGCGCAAGATTCGTAGACCCAAGTTGATGTTTTTTTGTCGATAAACTTTTGGTTTCTTTTCATAATCATGCGTATGATCAATATAAAAAATACTACATTTATCTGTAACACGAAAAATATATTCTCCTGTCTTTAATTTATGTTGAATTGATTTCATTCATTTAAATTCTTTTCAAGTACGACATATCTCAAGATAACATAAAGGAGATGTGTCTCGTTCAAAAAGATAAGTTTTTAATTGTTGATTTACATGGTATATGATAAATACGAATAAGATAGAGTATAATAACATTCATAATATTTCTGTTCTTTTGGTACTTCATTAAGTTAATGTTAATGTACAATGGATATAAATAATCAAGTTTCTTAACATCATTTATCACATTCTTTCAATTGTCTAGTTATCCAGTCAGATATATAAATCATCACTTTAAAATGTTGTTCAACAAATATTCTTCTCGTCGACATCAAATCTCCCATTGATCTATGATGGGAATAAATTTATTTTCTTATTTCGTAATATATTAGTCGAATCTATACCAAGTGAACATGTAGGAACATCACAAATCACTAGTCAAATAGATAATAATAAACCGCCTACATCGATTGATCCATTAGTACACTCAAAGTTGTTCAAAAGACAAAAATGCACCAATGCCATCGGTCCAGTAATCACTAACTATACACATGAAAAACGATTTGTCCATTATAAGCCAGCGAGTCAAAAAATATGACAAGACTCCTTTGGGTGAACGCCTATCGTCACAAGAAAACTCATTGTTGGAAGTTACAACAGTCCTAACGTAGCCAAATAACTCGTCCGTCGCAGCCCGCAATAGTTCAAACACAACTAGTAAAAGAATGACAAAACACTTGAACAGCCACGTCAATGAAAAAGAACAAAGATACTAAAAAAACACTGCTTTTTGTATCTAAACTTTCAAAATCAAACCATACAAGCCTAGCATACAGAAAACACTTTAATACAAAAAATCTTTCTTCCCAATACACCAATCATCCCACATATACAATATACTTTCTCATTTTAGAATGCGCCGAACATATGACTACCAAAACTAACTTCAAACAACGGTACAAAAAGCACCCTAATCGCAATAATATCATATACAAAAAAGTCGGTGGATGTAGGTGTATCTGTGTGGTTGTGAATGAGTAGAGGATACTAGACATATCCACATCCACACACACCCCAACACCCATGATTTTCAGGTTCAAAAACAGTGCCAGCAGCAAAATGTTCAAATGCTATTTTATATTATTTCCAAAATAAGATCCGAGAATTCACTCTACTTAACTTTCATGTTTTGTATAGATGAATTCCTTTGAGATTCTGTATGCAGAACAAATGCATTTTGCATCATTACAAGTAAAAACAACGCCAAACGAGTTTGAAAAAGAAATGCGTTTCACATTTTCCACAATTTGTGTCTCTGAAACGCATGCTAGTCTTGGAAACACGTTACATAGTGCGTTTCCTTCAATATTTTACACCATGGGATGTTCTATTGTATAGTAAAATCATCAATGAGGAAACAACCGTATTACTTAGTCTCTTTCATAAAAAATCGTTTATTGATATAAAAAACACAAGAATAAATTGATCTGCTTATACACCGTTAGAAAGACCCCCAAGTGTGCTATAAAAATATTAGTGAACGTGCTTTCTCATTTCTCTTGTAACATAAAAAAGCTAAAAGAAAATTATAAATGATTTTGCTTGATGGTGAAGTTACAAGAAATTTTGTAAAGGTGATAAAATCTTGACTTTTCGTCTCTCTCATATTCATTTATTTTAGAAAAATATGTTTGCTACAAAATGTGCGATTCAGGCATCAGTTTTCCTAAAAATGAAGGTTTAATTAGTTAGGATGTTGGCAACATGGTCTAACAGGGTTGGAAGATTTTCCAAAAACTTTTGCACCGCTTTTTATATTATATTAGAGAAACAAAATATAACATACAATCATTCATTTGAATAATCCTTGATATTTACATCAATCTAGTAGGACTAGAATAAAATGAAAAAGTTCTCTTATAAAACGCAGATATAGAATCTACAACAGCCTGTCAAATGTTTCATTTGAAGAAATTCCGGAACAGAGTTTTCCTGAAAGAAGATGGTCTGCACAATTTGTTCTCAGACAAGTCCATGGTGACACGTGAACAAACAAACATCGTTAGTTGTAAAAGCGTCCGCTCAACATAAAATATGGGCAGATTAGCTTTTCTATCACCGTCACATTTCCTCTAGTTTCCATGAACAGAATCAACTTAACGAAGCGTATTGTACTGAGCGTATGAAACCGTCGCCTAACAAACACCCACGACGTAATAAAAAAAAAACAGCACACAGAATAAGAAGACGACTGAATTAACAACGTGAGTACATTCTCCACTAAAGCCATCATTAGCATAGACTTATTATCAAAGTTCGAGTAAAACTTTCAACCAGATTTTCACTGCTACAAAGTTTTTCGTCGAACTACATTCACTGCAAGAATAGCAAGATTCAATCTACTTTTTATTAGAAACAATGATTGATGAGTATACATTTCTCTAATGATAGACAAAAAAAGCAGCAAGAGAAATAGTCATGATAATGGAATGACAAAGATGAGCTCAATCAAGTAGTTCCAGCTGTATTTGTTGTTACTCTTCCACGATGTACTGACGATTTGATCCATTTAGTTAATTCTGGCAATAGCATGATGTAAATCCAAGGTGAAAACAAACACATGATATACATGAAATCAAGAGTATAATCTGTTTGAATATTAGCCAAAAATGCTGGAGAAGTGAATATTTGGGTAATACCTATAACAAGACTAGGTACCCATCCAATTAAATACAGAGTTGAAATGCTCAGTAGTTGCAATGTCATACGTCGTTGTTTTTTCCATGAATAGCCTTGTTGGAGACGACTTCTGTGTCTCACAACTCGCATAATCAGTAGCATATTAGCCAAGAAAATTACAATAGCTGGTAAACCATTGTTTGTCCAATCATATGTACCCAAGGCTTTATTGTAGACAAGATAACAATTAGCATAACCACATAAATTAGCTGTATAATCCCATTGAGTGCCATCACATGGATATAAAATAATAATGCCGATATACAAAATAATTGGATAAGCAATGCATAGTGCAAGAGGAGCATAGTACAATGCGAACAGTTTGAGACGACTATGAAATGCATTTGCTTGAAATATGAGCGCATGTCGTTGAATAGCCATGGTAGCCACAATTAGTTCACTAATTAAATGAAGACTATACTCACAATATGTCCACCATGTACAATAGCCGGGTGTTGCTGGATCAACATAGCCCAAGTAATAGTAATGTATGGGCATTGGCATATCGACTACTAATTCAAGAAAATTGATAATCATCAAAACTAGGAGTGCTTGATTTTGTAGAAGCTTCAATGCTGCTCGATGCTTAAGAAGAAATGCAAAAATCAATACAGTAATGGCAACAGCTGGAAGTTGTAATGTAATATAAAGAAAAAATTTTGTTCGATGCAAAACAAATTTGGGATCTTGAAAGGACTCCATATTCTAACTGATGAATGTAGTGAGATGATGAATCAAAATGATTTCAATTGTGTAAAAGCTTTGCTTATATATAAAATGTGAGTGAGATGGATATCACAAGAACTTTTTGTTACAAGCGTTATTTAAATTTGAAAACTAGCATGCAAATTAATCTTTTTATTTATTCCTCGGTAAGAAATTTTTTGTACTATTGAGGCAGAAAAAGCATATATTTATATACATCTGAATTAAGCTTAATTCATAAGTTTTAGTGAAATAAAAATTTGTAGCACAATGCTTGTGGAATGGACTTTTGAAGCGTAACTTAGGTGGTCCTGCTGATTCCAGAAATGTTTTAAATTTTTTTTCTTCATCACATACTTATTTAACATTCTTTTAGTTCATATTTCAGCTCTACAGTCTATATGTTTTGGATTGCAAGGAAGCAGCATGGTTGTATAGTTTTTGGATAGTATTATGGCAGCTGCTGTGAGAATTTTTTTCTGTATATCAAGTTTGCATGCCAATGTTGATAATAAAGCTAAATGTTTCTCTTCTGTCTTGTTAAAACCTATTGGAATCGTAGAAAAATACGTGAAAATAATTTTTTACTTTTCGCTTCCTCAGCATTTTATTTTTAAAGTTTCGGACATATGAATTTCAGTGCATTTATTTATTTTTAATTAAGGGGGGAGGGGGGGGGGGAGGGTCGCGACTCCCCAAGTGCCCCTTTTTATGTGCTCATTGGATAGAGCATAGTTTTGTGCATATACTCTGAGATTTTCAGCCCTATTTATCAGTCACTTACTTGGTTAAAAAGTTGTGACAAGGTCTAAGTTTTGTCAAAATTTGGACCAAATCCTCCCTTCGTGTTTCCAAAATTGTGAATATAAAATATAAGAAAAATATAACTATTTTTATATCAAAAGATGCAGAATTGTTTTCTCTATTGATTCCATATAAAATCAAAATCATAACAAAAACTTTTTATAATAGTTAATAGCCAAATACTGCTTAAATTTTACGTTTTTTTCATGATCCAATTACTTTCAGTCATGTTTTGAGGACTATAATACATTTAAAGTTTTTTTCATATGGGCCATTCGATAGAGAATTTCAAGCGCTACAACTTTTCTATATATCACTTTTTTCCATTTGTTTCTTAGAAATAATAAAAGTCCTTTTTTGATCAATGTGAAAATCAGATATGCCCTATAAAAAGCATATAACTTTAAAAGGCTCAATAAAAGTAAAGGAATCTTAAGAAATTTTACCTAATTGTGTTCAGATATTCATGAGTCGGTACCGAGGAGAACGTGGATCAGAGGATGAACCATGAGAACTGGTGACATCTCTAACATGGTACAAGTCATACCGTTATTTTTTCACAGAATTACATGAAATTGAAATTCATTACTTTTCCAAATTATAGGAAAATTTGGTTTATTTTTATTAGTCACATGATCATTATCATGTCGAATAGAAAGCGAGCAATTTTGGCGTAGAATTTGATAAGGAACCGTTATTTGTTAATTTGTTTGGATTAAGAATGTTATCAGATGAAAGCTTTATTGATGAAGATCTTGATAAATCTTCACCTGTTCGTCCTTCTGATCGAGTTCTTCGATCATCATCTCATTCGACAAATGCTGATCGAATAACAGTCAAAAAATTGAATAGTAATATGAATTCATCAAATGATTTTGACAAAACAATAACTTCGAATGTGAAACAAACATCACGTAGTTTTCAGAAAATTCGGTTATCTATTGAAAGGTCAGACATATTTTTCTAATAATAATACTGAAGATGTTTGTTTTGCAGTGCTTCAGAACATGAAGTTATCGAGGGTTCGAGTCAGATTTTTGATGTGAATCACCTGAAAGAATGCATTGATAAAGCTGCGAGGTCTCCTTTCACAATATCTAATAATGAATAATACGGGCGCTGAGTCTGCTACAGCAGGAGATTGATCGCATAAAGAAAGTGCCTACCGTAAGGTATAGAGATTCACCAGTGGTTC